CCATGCGCCATGCCACTTTGCCAGTCATACACACGTTTCGATGCGTGCCCTGTCAGCTGCTTGCGTTGCATGTCGCCTTGCTCCACCCCTGTTTTATTGCTTTCTCTGCTTTCGCCCGGTTCCCGTCCCGTTTCGGCGGGGAGTCTATGTTGCAAGCTAGTTCTTGCTTTACCAGACTTTAAGCCCACACAAGCACAAGCAAGCCGGTGCACCGTGTGCTCTACCGGAGCGCCGGACAAGCGCGGCAAGTGCATTCCTTGGTGAGTGTAGCAACGGCTGTCAGTAAGAAAAAAGTTCATTCATGCATCCATTCCATGGCGTTCCTCCATTGCCCACACTGCAACTGTCATGCCTCACTCCCTGCTGGCCGTTTGTCTCCCTGCTCCCAGCACCGACAAGCACTGCGCACGCTGCTCCAAGACCGCCGGCAAGTGCGAGTACTGCAGCGATGGCTACAAGAAAGTCAGGGGCCGGTGCGTGGTGGATTCCAATGCTGCCGCTTGACTTGCTGGAAAGACCATGCAAGGACCAGCTGGCTGGAAGCGATGTAGATGGATGTGTGTGACGCACCCCTTGCTCATGAGCGGTTGCATATGATCGTTGAAGGCTGCGGTGGCATCAACCCCTGGCACAGTCATATTACCCGCACATGCTGCTTGTGTGGGCTTACAATCTGGTTTCAGCAAGAACATGCTTGTAGCACAGACTTTGTTGTTTGGGCAGGGAGGGATGAAACAGTAGAACAACAAGGAGAGGCCAACTGATAGGACACCGAGCGTTCAATATGTGAGCCGGCAGACAGTACTGGTCGTGGAGTAGGTATGGTGCGGTAAGAGGAAAGGGGGTTGAGATGAGGGTGGGGAGTCAGGTGCCAGCGTTGGTGGCAGGTGGCACGTTTTTTTGCGGCAGAGGCAGCGGCGGCGGCAGGGGCAGGCAGTGTAGGCGGCGCAGGCGTGGGCTGGGCAGGGGCAGCAACAACAGGGGCGGCAACGACTTCAGCTGAGGGCGGCGGGAGGGAAGCCGCTCGCCACCAGCGAGAGGTCGCAGCCCGCCCCACCTGGCGCGCTGGGGGCTCCTCCGCGCGCTGCTGGCGCAGCTCATGGAGGTATTGTAGCTCAATGCTGACCTCTGGTGCTGCCCACGCAAGTCGGCGGCGGGCACCCATCAGGGCGCCGCACAGGGCGGGAGTCAGTGGCAGGTGGCATTCGCTGCGCCCGTCCCCACGCACCCGGATCTCAACGCAGGTCACAGGCACAAAGTCAGGCACTGGCAGGTGTAGCTGGCCCGGGAAAACAAAACGAAGGCTGCGGCCCCCAGGCCCCCACCGGCCTCCAGAGCGATTCCCTTGACCACGATACGGGGGAAATCGGGCAGCAGGGAGCAGGTTGTGTGGGATAGTGCTACAGTGGTTGTGTGGGGGTAGTGCTTGCACAACTGTGAACAGCTGTGGAGCAACATCTGCAGCCGGTGGGTGGACAGGGATCAGGGAAGTTCTTCCCTGAAGAGGAAGGGATCAGGGAGGGGCACTTGGTTTTGGGAGCGGGCGGGGAAATGGGTGTGCTGCCACCGAAGGAGCTGGCTGGAGCTGGCTGGCGCTGAGCTGGCACCGCCTTCCGTGCTTTCTGCTCTCCTCCTGATCAGGCCCAGCGGTCGGAGGTAGGGTCCTTGACGCAGCGCCCCTTGGACAGCTTGTAGCCGAAGTTGCACTCGGTGCAGATCCGGGGTTTGCCGGGCTTGCAGGCCTCGCACTCCGCGCCCTTGCTGCGTGTGGGGGAGGGCAAGCGGCAGTTGGCGGGGGAGCAGGGAAGGGTGCCGCTTGACAGCTGGGACGCCGCCAGGCTGCCGCCAGGCTGATAGCGGAATTTTGTGCATGGCACGGAGCAGGCAGCTCAGCCCCGCAAGGCAGCTGAAGCAAGGGCGCGTTCGGGGCGCAAAGAGGCAGGGCAGCAGCGGCGCTGGCGCCCACCACTTGTCGCAGCGGCCTGTCATGGGGTTCGGCGCGTAGCCGGTGTAGCAGAGGGTGCAGCGAGCCGTGTTGCGGTTGCAGGTGATGCTGCAAGCACACCGTTTCAACTTGTCATATGCCGGGGGTCGGGGGGGGGGGCGGTGCTGCTCTGGCATGCCACATTCGGCGAGGCTGTCACCCCGGAAGGCCCACGCGGCTCACCAGTTCTCGTCGCGGCACTTGATGCACGCCCCCTTGACAAGACCATAGCCCCTGCGGCAAGAGCAGGGGAAGGGCAGACGTCGGCGGCATGCGGGCGAGAAGGTGTGTGGGTGGGTGGGGCATGGGAGATGGTGGGGGCTGCGGTTGGGGGCGCCTCACCGGTTGCACGTACGGCAGATGCCGGTCTTGGGGGCGCACTTGTCGCAGTTCTTGTCCTTGCAGTACTTGCACCGGCCTTTCACAGTGACGTACACGCCTGCAGCAGCAGCTCAGGCATTGAGAAGATGATAGATTCATTCTGGTTTGCTAGCAGGCTGAGCATGTTGTGTTCCCAGCCCCTTGCCCAGGGGTGGAAGCGGAGGGCGGACTGCGCATGTGCCTGCAAGGGCTGCCCGCCTGCGGGATACCTCACGCACCCGTGGGCTGCTCGCCCTCCCAGTCATCACAAGCCTGGCACACATCCTGGCGGGGGCCGTCACACTTAACGCAAGTCCAGCCAAGCTTGCCCGGGACCTTGCACTGCAGGCGGCAGCAGGGAGGCGGGCGGGGGAGAGCAGGGCTGGGTCGCATGAGGAGCTAATGAACAGCGCTGTGCAATTCCATTGCTCACAAACAATTCACGCTGTGCCGAAGCCACGTAGGAGTGCAGTCACCTGGGCGCAGGTCCCCTTGGGGGTCAGCCCATAGGTGTCGAAGCACTTGGCGCACCTGCAAGCATGGGCGATATGGGCCAACTGGGTAACGGGTGGCGACAGGAGGAGCAGGGAGCGTAACCAGCAGCTCCTGGGCGGCTGATTAGTGGTGTGATTCATCGTAGGCGCTTACCTGTGGTTGCCCGTGTGGCACCTGGCACAGCCGTCCTTGTTCTTGGTGCACTTCGCGGCGGCGCCTGTGGGTGGTGGGGTGGGGGGTGAGCGGTGGGGGGTGGGGTGCCGCGAGGAGGGCGGCCTCCCGGCGGCGGCCGGCGGCGGCGGCACATGTGACCGATGGGACATGCACCCCAAGGCGCCAAGGCTGTTGATGGTTCCAACTGCCGTCCCAAGCATCAAAAGGGAGAGAGGGCTGAGGGAAGACTCCATACTATTGATCATCAATGCCGCGTCCCGAGCACGGAGCGGTTACTAGGCTGTCGGAGGGGCCGTCGCCATCGCCAGGAGCCGAGGCATATCACTCACCAGTGATTACGAGGGCCAGGAAGGCCGCCAGGAGAGCTATGGTGCGCGGCTGCATGGTGCAGAGGCTCAGTTGGGTGTTGCAGAGGTCAAGTGGCGCTGGGAGCGGCAGCACACGACCCGGCAGCGAGCGGCTTCCAGTTTCGAGGATTGTGGAGGATCCTCCCAGCCTACAATGGCATCGGCACGCTCCGGTTCCTGCCCGCCTGGAAGGTGGTCGTCTGCCTCTTTTTGATGCTGTGCCGATAGTAAAGCCCTCCAGCGCAGTGCAGACCAAGCAAGCGGCTCTCCATGGAAGTCCCGCACAGCCCCTGGCGTTGCCTTGTATCATGGTAGCGCTGGAAGCTGCCGAATGCATGCACCCCCCCACACACACACATATGTGGCACATGTGTGCACTTGCTACGCCGGCTGCAGCATGAGTCTTACATGGGCATGTCTTGCATGCAAGCATGCATGCAATCACTACGTAGTGTGTGGGGGTGGGAACTGTGCAGTAATGACTGTGCCAGGGGTTGGACTGTGCCAGGGGTTCAACGCCGCCGCCAGCAGTGCAGCGATCGCGTGCAGTCGCTCAGGGCGTTGTGTCCATGTGCAAGGGGTGCACACCCTGCGCATTCATCTGCTCCGCTTCCAGTCAGCTGGCCCTCGCATGGTCTTCCAAGCAATTCAAGGGGCGGCAGCCTTGGAATCCACCACGCACCGCCCCCTGACTTGCTTGTAACCCACGGTGCAGTACTCGCACTTGCCGGCGGTCTTGGAGCAGACATCGCAGTGCTTGTCGGTGCTGGGAGCAGGGAGAGAAAGGGGCGGCAGGGGAGTGAGGCACGGCGGCTGGTGTGTGGGCAATGGAGGAACGCCATGGAATGGATGCATGAATGAGCTGTTGGCTGACCGACAGGCGATGCTGCACTCACCAAGGAATGCACTTGCCGTTCTTGTCCGGCGCGTGGCCGGAGTAACAGAGGGTGCACCGGCGCACGTTGCCGTCGCAGGTGATGCAGTTATCGTCGGCACAGGCCTTGCAGGCCTTGCTTGCGAGCAGACCAAAGCCGCTGCAGCAGGAGGAGGGCGAGCGGCAGGAGGGCGTTGGCTGGATGCAAGGGAGAAGCTGGGGGAGCATGGGGTGCAAGCTCGTGGCTTTCCCACCCGCGCCGCTGGCGGCCACCACCACCCAACAAACCCGGCCAGCGCATGATGTAGGGGAGGCTGAGGAGTGGCGATGCGCACCAGCAGGCTGGATGCCCCACTGGCAGCCAGCGGGCCTCACCGGTTGCACTCCTGGCACGTGCCGGTGATGGCGGCGCAGCGGTTGCAGGACTTGTCCAGGCACGACTTGCAGCGGCCTCCCTTGGTGGCAAACACGCCGGTGGGCTGGTAGCCCTCGTAGTCCTCGCACTTGAGGCAGAAGGAGGGGTCGTTGCCCTTGCACTTGGTGCAGGTCCAGCCCATCTCGCCGCGCACCTTGCACTCGACGCACTTGCCAGAGGAGGTCAGGCCGTACGTGTCCCAGCAGGACACGCAGCGGCTGCCGTCCCTGCTGCACTTGCCGCAGCCTGCGGCGTTGGCCTTGCATTTGGCGGCAGAGGCGCCTGCGGCAGCAGCGCGGCGGCGGCGGGCGGCGTGAGGGAACCGTTTGCAGGGCAGGCCGACAGGCCCGCAGTCAATGTGAACACAGCGCGAGGATGCTGTCAACTCACCGCAAGCGAGCGCAAGCACCGCCGCGAGGAGGAGGACGAAGCGCGTGGCACCGACCATGGTGGGGGGCTGTGGACGAGAGAGCGGTTAGCTGAATGACTTAGTGGACAGAAAAACAGATGGGCATGAAACGCGGTAAGGCATGGAAAAAAAATGGAACGCTCCGGACGCCAGCTGGCGACTCGCCAGATGGCGGGTCACTTGGCCGGACACATGGAGGAAGGCTCCCTGCGATGTGCCTCGTCGAGTATTTGGTTACATCTGTAAGGAAATGAGCGCGGCAGATGGCAAATACCCAACAGCTGCCGCCAAGGGGCGCCTACCGCCCCAGCTGGCGCGCCTGTGGCGGCGCCTGCCACTCAGCCCATCTTGAACCCCGAGTGGATGGCCACCACCCCAAGCGTCAGGTTCTCGTAGTCCACCCCCCGGAACCCAGCCTCCTCGAACATCTGCAGCACAGGCAGGCGTGCCAGGCGGAGCAGGCATGCTGACGCCAGGAGCCTACAACCAGTGACTGCATGACGCTGCTGGCCACGCCATCCACGGCAGGGCAAAGGCAGGGCAAGCGCAGGCCAGGGCTGGGCATGGGACAGGGCAGGGCACCCTCAGCGGCAGCAGCGGCAGCAGCGGGTAGGGCAGCGGCAGCAGCGGCAGCAGCGGGTAGGGCAGCGGCAGCAGCGGCAGCAGCGGGTAGGGCAGCGGCAGCAGCGGCGGCTCACCGCCGCCCAGGCCTCCTGGTCTGGGAACATGCGGATGCTTTCCACCAGGTACTGGTAGCTGGCGGCATCGTTGGCCACCACCCTGCACACAGGCCAGAAGGGGAGATGCGCATGTGGGCGTACGAATGTTTGAGTGCGAGTGTGCGTGCATGCGTGTGCATGTCCATGTGGTTGTTGGTGGTGGTGCGGTGTGGCGGGTGGTGCTGGCACCAGCAGAGTAAAGGCACCGCACACGTCTCGTCTGCGGCGCAGGCCGCCATGCCCTCCCCCCGCACCTGCCGATCTGTGGGATGATGTTGAAGGAGTAGAGGTCATACAGCTGCTGCATGCCAGGCACCACCACCTTGGAGAACTCCAAGCACAGCAGCCGCCCGCCTGGCCGCAGCACCCTGCAACACCGGCAGACGGCGGAGGCAAGGCAGGGGCGGGGCAGGGGATGGGCGAGTCGGTTCGACGCAACAGCCTGTGCCCCCCCCCCTGCCGCAACCTAAATGCAGCAGCGGCTGGCGCGTTGCGGCCGGCGTCGTCCAGCCTCCCTGTGCCCCGCACTGCCAGCCAGCCAGCAAACCAAATCAACGCAAACCTGTGCGCCTCGCGCAGCGCCGCGGGCCGGTCTGTGACGTTGCGGATGCCAAAGGCGATTGTGTAGGAGTCGAAGGAGGCGGAGGGGAAGGGCAGCGCCTCTGCGTTGCCCTCCACCCACTGCATGCTCTCGGGGCCAATGCCGCCCGCCTCCGCCTTCTTGCGCCCCTCCGCCAGCATGGCTGCGTTGATGTCGCAGACGGTGATGCTGGGGAGATCCTGCTGCTGCTGCCCCTGCTCCTCCTGTTGTGCGGCCCCGGCTGCTGCTGCTGCCGCCCCGGCGCCCTCTCCCGCCGCTCCCGCTGCTGCCGGCGCCCCGGGCGTGGCGCCGACCCCGCCGCTGCTGCTTGCAAAGCTGCTGCCGCCGCCGTACTGCGCAGCCCGCATGGCGGCCAGCACTCGGAAGGCCACGTCGCCGGTGCCGCCAGCCACGTCAAGGTGCCGCTGCCCCGGCCGCGGCCGCAGCTTCTCAACGAGGCGGTCCTTCCACAACCGGTGCATGCCGCCTGAGCGGGGTTCAGCAGTTCAGCAGCAGCAAGCAAAGGGCCATGTCTGCTGCGAATGGCTGGGGCCCGCCAGCACGCAGCAGCACCGAGTGAGCAGCGACAAGACACCAGCGGTTGGCGGACGCTGCAAGGCCCCATGCTGCAGCCTGTGCAGCACCTACCGCTCATCAGGTCGTTCATGACATCATAGGAGGGCGCCACGCTGGAAAACACCTGCCCCACCAGCGTCTGCTTCTCGTCACGGGGCACGTGATGGAAGCCTGTTGGGCGCGCGGGGGGGGGGGGGGGGGGGGCGTTTGGCGGCGGCGGCGGTGAACAACGGTGGCCTGCCCATGGCAAGCGGCGGCTCTGCGCGGCGAAGGGCGATGCAATTGAGGCTCACCAAAGTCTATTGTGCCTTCTGGCTGCTGCTGTGGGGCTGCATCGTCCTTCTGGCTGGCGGAAGAGCCGCTCGTCAGGCCCCGAGCCAGCAGCGAGAGGCCCTCCTGGCAGGCCCCTGCCCTCCTTTTCAGCTGCTGCCTGGCAGAAGCAGCCAGCATGTTGCCTCACCACGCCCCGCCAACGCAGCAAGAAGGGGGTGCTGGGGCGGCTGTCACGAAGCCAGACGGCTTGCGGACACGATGCACAGAGCTGAAAGCGCTGAATTAGGCAGCGAGATCAAGGCTGCTCATTGCCATCGCTCAGCGCCATGTTGGCGGCGGAGGCGCCGCTGCCGCGCTGCCGCCTTTTTTCTTTTCTCAATTGTCGCCTAGAATTGTGCAGGGCGAGTATTCCGGGAGCCAGGATTACAGTATTCAGCCCGGAAGGAGCGGTGGGAGCTTGCAAGCCCCGCGCCGAAGCAGCAAAGCCAGCCTTGTGCCAGAGGCCAGCGTCAGCTCATGCCGGGGGCGGGGCGGGCCGCAGGTCGAGCTGCTCCACCCAGCACGAGCCCAGCCGCCACACGCTGGTGTCTGCCACCGCCGCGCCGCCTGGAAGCCGCGCAAACAGCGACACGCCCCAGGAGGCGGCCGGGTCCAGAGGGTACACTCTCGCCGTGGCGCGCATCCGCCCGCCCAGCCCAAACGCCTCCACCACCGAGTGGTCCACCAGCAGGCGCAGCCGCAGGTCTGTGGCCAGCATGCCGCCGGCGGGCAGCGCGATGAGGCCGCCCCACACGCCGCCCTGCGTCGCGCCGCCCACGCCGCTCGTGTCCACCCACATCCCTGCCTGCGTGATGCGCGGCCCGTCTGCGCTGTCGTCCACCGCGGTGCCGTTGAGGGTGACCGCCAGCTGGGACCCGCGCCCCATCTGCACCGTGGCCCCCACCGTATACCTGAACCGCTGCTGCCCCTCTGAGGTGGGGGCCGCGCCGCTGAGGTTGAACGCCGCCAGGAGCTCCAGCTGGCGCAGCGGCGCGGAGGCGGGCAGCACGATGCTGGACCCAACCACCATGCTGTCCTGCAGGCGCGGCGGGGAGGGAGGGCCAGGTGGCAGTGACGGTGCTGGCCCGGGTGGCAGTGCCTCACTGCAGCACAGGGAGTGCACATGCAGGCGGGGCAGCATGCCTAGCAGGCCCGGTGCAGGCTGGAGTTGGAAAGTGGTGGGCTCGACAAGCAAGCAGCTGGGCTTGGTTGCTGGCAGGTGGCCTGCGCCCACCACGTGGTGGACGGCACTGCACACACTTGCCGTGATGGAGCCGTAGAACGCCAGCACACCGCTAAACAGCTGGCTCTGCCGCAGCCCCTCCGCCTCCTTGACCGGGTTGAGCAGGAGCGACGTGGTTGCCGGGTCGTACGTTATTTCTCGGGGCAGGGTCTGCGCGCCCTGCCAGCCCTGCAGGCAGGCAGGCGGGGAGGCAGGCAGGCGGGAAGGCGGAGGCGGCGTCAGGGGCAGCCGCGGCCGGGCTCAGGACCCAGCAGGCCAGCTGGCGGCAGCGCTGCAGCGCACCGCCCGCCTTCCCCGCGCCAGCGGAGAGCACGCCAGCAGCGCAGGTGCGCAGGTGTGAGTTGAAGGCGGTGCGGGCAGCGCGGCGCCTCACCATCGCCGCTGTGAAGCTGGTGCCGTCGCCGCACATCTCTGTGCACCCCAGCGACGACTCGTACGTCCAGCCCCACCACACCGCCCTGCCGTCCGAGGTGCGGAAGGTCTTGGAGGCGTAGATCTCGCCGTGGTCCAGCAGCCGCGCCCCGTACGCGGCGCCCCCCATGGTGTTGGAGAAGAGCGCGGCCGAGGGCGAGGTGGGGCTGGCCTGCGGCGGCGGCTGCCCCGCCCGCGACGCGAAGCCCACGGGCTGGTCGCTGAGCACGTACCAGTCCTGGCCAAACGGCCGGCGCCCGGACACCTGCGCGGCGGGGTTAGGGCGACGCGGCGCAGGGAGGCCAGGGCGGAGCTGGGACGGGCGCCCTGGCCGGTGCGGTGCCGACGAGGACAGCAGCCATGGTGGTGCAGGCACAAGGTGTTGGGCGGGCGGCCGGGCCTGCCCACCTGGTCGCTATATTTGAACACACTGATGTCGGTGCCCCGCAGGGGGAACCAGTCGGGGCACTCCCACACGGCACAGTCGCCAAACTGGCTGGAGGCGGGGCAGGTCGCCAGGTCCTCGCCCTCCTGCAGCCACACGACAGCAGCAGCAGCAGGGGGCGCCACCCCAGGTTGGCGACAAGAGCTCGGCAGGCTGCCAGCGCTTGGCAGGGCCTGCCAGCAGGTGCCGCCCGCTTGCCAGGCAGCCACGGCCCAGTGAGAAGGGTTGGGAGTTGGGAGGTGGTGAGCGGCGGCGGCGGCGTGCATGCATGCAGGCCCGATGTGTGCCCCCGGCAGCTGCCGGCCTCGCCTGCTGGCCCCCAGCGGGCAGCTCCCCGTCTGGTTGTGGGCATGCGCTGCTGCTGGAACCATTGGTGAGCGCCCCAATGGAGAACAGGACACCGCGGTACGACCAGGAATCAAAGGCAGGGCCTGCCTCGTAGAGAGCCGCACCGCCCTGCGGCGGCAGCAGGAGGCGGCGCAGGGAGCAGGCGCGTGAGCCGCGGAGCGGAGCGGGGAGGTGCGATACACAGGGCCTTGGGCAGGCAGGGACGCTGCTGGCTCCCGGCATGGGCAGCACGCGCCAGCCGCTGACCCCAGCTGGCAGCTGCTCCGCAGCTGCCGCGGCCGGCGCACCTGGCAGTGCTGCTGGGCTCCCACGGATAGAAAGTAGGAGCCGTCTGCTGCGCCTGCGCCGGTGCCGCCGCCCTCTGCCTCCACCCACGTCGCGGTGGTTGGGTCGCGCCACTGGGCGTGGTTGCCACCTGGCGGCGCCAGCGGCATGACCGGGTCCGACCGCTTGAGCCAGTGCTGCAGGAGAGGGTCGGAGGTGTTGGTGGGGGTGGCCAGCGCCTGCACCTGATAATAGTATCCCAGATCCTCAAAGCGGGACACGCCTGCAGCCGCAGTGAAGGCAAGGAAGCAGGAGGGCGCGGGGTGGCGACCTACATGCAACGTTCCGTGCTGCATGCCTGCAGCGATGGCGGCGGCCAGCGGCGATCCTGGCATGGCCGCCGCCGGGCGTCGGGTGGCGCTTCGCTCGCGCCACGATCGACAAGGTCGTGGCCCGCTTCCCACCGGCTGCTGCCTGCCTGCCTGCCCCCAGCGCCGCCCGCCGAAGCCCACCTGTGTACATGATGGCGGGGGTGCCGTTTGTGAGCAGCGTGGCCGATCCGCTGAACACGCCGTCGCTGTCGTAGTAGGCGGCGGGCTGCAGGGCCACGCTGGGCAGCTGCATCCAGTGCACCAGGTCGGCAGATGCGACGTGGCCCCAGCTGGGCGCCGCCTGCATCATGGGAGGAGCGCAGTGCGGGGCCGCCGGCGGGTGGTGAATGCGGAGGTGGGGCAGAGATTGGGCACGGGCCCACAGCCACGCGCGCAGGCAGGCTGGGAGCAGGGGCAGGCGCGCAGCCACCAGCGACGGGCGCGCACCCATTTGGGCGAGGATGGGTTGTACTGGTAGAAGAGGTGGTACAGCTGGCCCGCCGGGAACTCCAGCGGCCCGTTTGGGTCGTTCCTGCGGGGAGCGGGCATTGAGGGAGGGCCCTGCTCGGCATGGCGCCTTGCACCAGCTGCGCCGACTGCCCTGCTGTGAGGGAAGGAGAGTGGACGGTTGCGGTGATGATGCCAGCACCCGCAGCGCACAGGCGGCGCGCCCTCCACTCTCACATCCAGCCCTGGGGCGGCGCCACGTGGAAGCCGGGCTTGAGCGAGGCCGACAGGCCAGGGGTGCTGGATGCCTGTGCCGCCAGCTCCTCCACCCGGCTCCTCTCCTTCTCTGACAGCGCACGGCCGGGGGAGCGGCCTGCAGCGGCACCAGGGTTAGGGAGGGGTAGAGGTAGTCGGGCGAAGCGGCGCCAAGAGGTGGTGCCAACGGCGCACTGGGCGGTGCCGCAGACTACTCTTTGGTGAACAAGAGGGGATACACACCTCGGGGCAGGGATTGTGTGGGCCTCGCCAGGCAGGCCAGCAGGGCTGCGAAGAGTACGAAGGCTCCCTTAAGCTGCGGCATGGCAGGGAGTGTCGAGCGGGGGCAGGGCCCGCTAGCGTCCAGCGCGGCTACGACCAGAGTGATGGAGACATCACTGGGAGGGAGACAAGAGCCCCCGACAGAGGGGAAGTTCCTCTGGTTTCCGGGAGAACTGGTTTCAGCGTGTGATGCTGGTGCACGGTCGCAAAAGAAGGTGAATACTGACGCGCGTGAAGGGGCTGGGGGCGATGGCTTCAATGGCGGTGGCGCCATCTGGCGCCCGCTGGCAGCCAGCTCAGATTTCGGCTCCATTGCTTTCCTGGAGCACAGCAACGTTACAGGGGTGGCAAGCACACGCGGCTGACTTCACACGATGGCATCAGCAGCAGCCGGCACCAGCTGCCAGTCCTGCGCCTGCACCCAGGCCGACAGCGGGTAGGCGGCGAGCTGCAGGATGCGCAGCACCAGCTCTTTGGGCAGCCCACACATCGGGTGCGGCGCCGTCAGCAGCGCTGGGCGCTGCATGCGCCCCGCCATCAACTGGGCCTCCAGCTGCTGCTCCAGCCGCTTGAGCTGCTCCACGTCTTCTGCCGGCTTGCTCTCCTCCCCCCAAAAATCGTCGCCCAGCACATCGTCCCAATCGGAGTTGCGCAGAGGAGACCCTTCCCCGCCGCTGCTCCCCGGCGTGCCAGCCGACGTGCCGGCCGCAGGCTGGCCGCGCGCCAGCTCGGGCGTCCAGCCGCGCCGCACGGCCCAGGCGCGGCGCCGCAGGCTGCCCAGGCGAAAGGGCCGCCCCGGGGACCCCCCCGGTGCCCTGCCTGCCTCCTGCAGGCTGACCTTGCGGTACACCTGCTGCCGGCGGTAGCAGCACAGCGCGGCCAGCTGCTCGCAGGTGAGGTGGTCGGGGGCCAGCATGCCGCGGCCGTGCCGCGCAATCAGCAGCACCTCGCGTGCCGCGGCCCGCAGGCGGGGCGGCATGCGTGGCAGGCTGGCGGGCCCCAGCTTGGGCCGCTCCAGCGCCAGCATCAGCAGTTGGTAGGGGCTGCAGGCACGGCAGGACCATGGGCACGTGGCTGTGGCCAGCACGCCAGCAGCCCCAGCATGGAGACGGCTGCTGCCGGGGGCAACGACAGCAAGCGGGAGGGAGGTGCAGGCCCGCCGCCTGCCACCCAAGCCACCCGTGCCCACCTGCCCGGGTCGTGCACGCCAAAGCGCTGCGGCTCCTGCTCCAGCGGGTGGTAGCGGCCCCTGCTCGTCTGTACCGCTGTACTGCGCCGGGCGGTACCGCGCCGCCCCCAGAGCCTCCATCGCATCCAGCCGCTCACACAGCTCCTGGTGCCGGTGCTTCACACTGAACGCCACCCCCTGCACACCAAGGGCACACCAAGACCGCTCGGGTTGCGGGCATGGGCGCCCAGTAGAGCAGCGAGGCGGCGGCGGGGGAGCGGTGTGCCATGCGCGCGCGCAGCGGGAGCGGTGTGGTGCACACAGGGCGAGCGCGGGCAGGGCAGGGCCTCCAGCAGCCTGTGCTGCGCTGTCCATACACACCAGCGTGGCGCCGGAGTGTCTGACCGTCTGCGCCGCCGCCTCCAGGTTGGCCAGCAAAGGGCAGCTGAGGTGCGCCACCGGGTTGCCGAGGACGTCAGGCAGGTGCACATACGGCTGGCCTGGGTCCGCCTGCGGTGCAGCGCACAATACCGCCACGGCAAGCCCGGGGTCGTCATGCTGGCGGGCCATGCAGGCTGGGCTGCCACGCGGGCCGACAAAGCGCCCCGCGCCGGCACGGCAGCGCCAACGCCGGTGGCACGGCATGCCGCACGCACACAGGCCTGCTGGGCGGCTGCTGTTACCAGCCAGGCAGGCGCTGGCCGGTCACCTGCAGCGCGCCGATGCGGAGCAGGCGGTGCAGGCCGTCGATGTCGGCATGCACCACCGCCTGCAGCACATCCGAGACGCCCAGCTGCGCCCCGGCTGCCAGCAGCACCTCCACCACGGCCCGCCGCCGGCTGACCCTGTGCTGCTGCTGCGCGCAGGCCAGCACGCTCGCGCCGGCGGCCTCCCGGCCCTTCAGGTCCACCCCCAGCGCCAGCACACCCCTCACCATCTGCTCAGAGCCCCTGCGGGCGGCCTCCAGCAGCAGGCGCAGGGCCACCCCCGACGGCAGCTGCTCGCGCTGCTGCTGCAGCAGCGCCAGCAGCTGCGGGCAGGCGGCGGCATGCTGGTGGTGGATGGCGGCCTCAAGGGCCAGCGCCGTCTGCGCCGGCGCCAGCGGGCGGGCCCCGCTGGCGTGGCCGCGCAGCATGAAGTCGATGCAGCGCTGGGCCAGCATGGAGGATTGGAGGAGGAAGGGGTAGCGTGGAGGCAGGCAGGGGTCTGCCCCCGCCTGCAGCAGCCGGTCCAGCATCGCGGCGTCCTCGGCGTCGAGGGTCGTGCCGTAGCATGGCTGGCAGGCCTGCTCCTCAAACACCATCAGCGGCGTGTAGCCCCGCGGGCCCCGCAGGTTGGCGTCAGCACCCGCGTCCAGCAGCGCCACGGCGGCCTCGTGCCGGAAGAGGTGCAGGGCAAAGTGCAGCGCGGTGGGGCTGCGACGGGCCGCCTCAGCTGGCTTCTGCGGGCAGCAGGGCGCAGGGCACGGCAGGGAGGTGGCGGCCGTCGGCAGCAGGGCCGGGCCGCCATGCGAGCGGCCTGCCTGCAGCGCAGCCGGTGGCGGGACACGCTCCGCTTACCCCCGGGCTGAAGTACTCCAGGATGCGATAGGCCGGTCGCAGAGCCTCCTCTCCCAGGGACACGTCGTGATAGATCTTGTTGACGTCCACGTGGGCGGCCAGAAGCCGGATGGCGGGCGGGCTGTTGGCCAGGACGGCGGCCGCGAGCGGCGTGCAGCCGTGCAGCGGGCGGAGCACAGACCTGGAGCGCTTCCTGCTGGCCTCTGTACGGGACGCCAGCACCTCCCTCAGCCTGTCTAAATCACCCGAGAGTGCTGCATCCACAGCGGAGGATGCCAGCGACGAGTTGCCAAGCTCCGTGGGAGGGTCCTTCCTCTTCGGCATGTCGACTGACGATGCATGCACCTCTGGGTGTGAGCGTGCAGGGGCCCTTTGGCCGCCACGGAAATTTGGGCGAGAACACAGTACGCCGCCCGTCCCGCCACCGCCCGTCGCCGCTCAACAAGAGTCAGCTGCCATGCGCCCCGGAGTAATCCATATGACCTGCCTTGTGTAGCGAATTACAGACATGGGCTGCAAAATCACAGCAGCAGCCGGCGCCAGGTGCCAGTCCTCGGCCTGCACCCAGGCCGACAGCGGCTAGGCGGCGAGCACTCAGCGCAGGCTCCCTGCCGGTCATGTTGCTTGCCTGACGTGCTTGCAATTACAATTACAATGCCTAATTTCCTGCTTGGATTGGGATATCGATTGTTGGAAGCGTTGCTGGCTGCATTCAGCAACAGGACAACAGCGGGAAAGGGAGTACATGCTGGCATCGAGAGCAGAGCGGCATGGGAAAACAGTGCTGAGGAGGGGTAAACATCAAGGCGTCGGGGGCCAGGCTGGTCAGAGGTGGCCCAGGATGATGCGGTGGCGCGGGTCCAGCTCGCTGCACTCCACGTGCTTGAAGCCCGCCTGCAGCCGGGTTGGGTTACAACATGTATGCAACATGGGTGCGTTGGCGCTGGGGGCGGGCGCGGGGGCAGGGCATCTGTGCCTGCTCCGCCTCCTCATGAACCTGACCCCGAACACCCCCGCCACATCACCCACACCAGCTGCACCACATACACACACCGACAGCTGCATTTCACACCGACAGCTGCATTTCATACACACACACCAGCTGCATTCCACACACACACGCACACACACACACACACACCTTGCCCATGCTTTCCTCCAGCGGGTAGAAGTAGTACTCATCGGTCCACGGCTCCGTGGCCTTCATCAGCGTGGCCACAGCGGGCGGCATGCGGCGGCCCGTGGCGCTGCAGCAGTGCAGGCAAGCGGAGGAGGTCGGCGTGCGGTGCTGCTGGCACCGCATGGCCAGGCATGGCGAGCGAGGGGCGTGCGTGCGCGACAGGTGCCTCCCACTGCTGGCCACTTGGCAGAGCCAAGCCAGCGAGGCGAGCAGCCCTAACCCCACCTGTTGGGGTTGATGTCTACAAATGCCAGCACGCCGCCGGGGCGCAGCAGGCGCTTGCTCTCCTGAATCTGCGGGCAGTGCCAGCAAGCAGGCAGATCAGCAGGCGGGCGGTGGCGGGCAAGCTGAGGACTTGACAGGCTTCTGGGGAGCGTCGCAGCTGCCGGTGCACGGCCTGCAGCAGGCTGCCCGAAGCGCAGCGCAGCGGGCGGCTGCACCTCCCAACCCGCCGGCCGGCCAGGCCGGGGCCCGCACCATTTGGGAGATGATGTCTGCGGGGCACTCGTGGATGACAAACTGCACCGCCACCAGGTCCTGGCTGCGGCTGGGCAGCCCGCTGGCCTCCAGGCGGCTGTGCCGGTAGGCGATGCGGCGGCGGCGCGAGGCGCCGGGCACCGCGTCGGCGCCCACGGCGGCCGCCTGCGCCAGCGCGGCCACCTGCGGGGCGCCGCGCCGCGCAAGCTCGCGCCCCTCCTCCCACTGCCGCTCCCGCAGCTCCGCCACCGCCAGCATGTATGGGCTCAGGTCCAAGCCCGTCACGCTGGCAGAGGGGTACTCCCCAGCCAGCCACCGCGTGCAGATGCCGACTGCGGCAGGGTGCGGCAGGGGCCCGGGCTGCTCAGGGGCGGGAGCCGCAGGGCGGCCGCTGGCGGTGCACATCGCTAGAGGGGCGGGGCGGGGCAGGCACCGGCCAAGCACCTCGTCCCAGCCCTGCACGGCCTGCATGCCACTCAGCACGCCCTGCCGGGACCCCTCACCCGAGCAGCCCGCATCCAGGATGTCCCTGGGCTCCTTGAGCCCCCGGTCCGCGGCGTACTTGCGGATGGTGGTGAGCGTGGTGCTACGCAGGCGCGCCTGCGCCGCGGGCCCCGTCAACTGCGCCTCGGCCTTGGCCCAGGGCAGCAGCGCCATGACATCGGTGGCGGGCTCCGCCTCCAGCGCGGCCAGCCACGACAGGTTGCCCTCGTCGTAGCCTGCGGGAGTGGGAGGGAGGCAGGGAGGGGCAGCAGAGGTATGGGTGTGTGCGGGAAGGTCGGCTGGAGGGAGTAGGGATGGAAATGAGGAGCGGCAGGGAGAACGGGGGGCACTCCTCCATCGCCCGCGCCGCCCACAGCAGCGGTGTCGGCTGGCCCGCAGGCCGCCCCGCCAACAGCATCAGGCACGCACCGTGGAAGGCACGTGTGTAGTAGGCGGGGTACTGCAGCTCCTTGTCCTCGATCTCCTCCTTGATGGCAAACACCTGCACGTGGGGCTGCAGTGGGGAGGAAGTGAGGTGGGGGTGAGCCGGCGAGGGGCATGGGGAGCGGGGCTGGGCCATGGCGGGGGAGCGGCATTGCCTGCACCGCCCGGCTGCGACTGCTGGCGCCTGACCGTCCCCTGCTGATGTTACCCTGCTGCCCTGCCCTGCACCCAGCAGCCTGGCCCGACCCCACACGCACCTGAGAGTGCTCCAGCTCGTACACGCGCTGCTGCCAGGGCACGCCGCGCCGCTCGGCTGTCTGCTTGATGCGGTTGCGGGCGCCCTCCTTGAGCACGCCAAACAGCGGGGAGTCGATGACGACGTTTACCAGGCGGGACACCAGGTCGTCGCCTGTGGGAAGCAGGGGCAAGGAGAGAGGTTCAGAGGCCATTGGCGGCAACGAGACGCCAGCTGGCGCATTGGCGGCACTCCTCCAGGGACCCGCGAGGCGGAGGCGGCGGGAAGCCCGCCCAGGCCTGCCGCACCTGCCCAGCTGGGCTTGGGCGAGCTGCTGGTGTTCTGGGCGACCGCCTGGGGGCGGAGGGGTGCGCGTTGGGCCCTGCCTCCTGAACGCCCTCTCGTCAGCATGCTGCTCCATGTCTGCTGGGAGGCCTGCATTGCTGCCGACATGGCGCCTGGTGACTGCTTTGACAACGGGACGAAGTTAGGGGGGCGATGGGGCAGGGTTGGGGTCGGCATCGCAAGAGTTCTATCCTCCGGTTACGTGCCTCTGCCAGCTGGCAGTGACGGGCGGGACGATTTCGTTTCGGGCTGGATGAAACCATGCAGGACCCTGAGGGATGGACATTGGGGCGAATGTCTCGCCCTTGCATTGCCGCGGCCAGCCCCAGGCCTCCACCACAGCCGCCCCCGCAGCAGCCCAGGCTGCCTGCCGCCTGCCACCGCCTGCGGCCGCCTTGCCCGCTCCCTCTCGCCATGTCCACCTCAGGTTACAGGTACCGCACCATCTGCACGCTGTGCTTCCCCTTCTTGGTCATGGCGGCGGCCTTGACCTCCAGCCGCCCCTTGCCCGCCACGCTCACCACGTCGCCCGCCTGCACCTCCGCGCTCGCCTTGCCCGCCGCCCGCCAGTTGACCCGCACATCCCCGGCCTTGATCAGGTCTGCCATCTTGGAGCGGCTCATGCGGAAGCCGGCGCTGGCCACGGCATCCAGGCGCAGGCTGGACTCCACGCTGCTCAGCTCCTCCACGCGAGGCGCGCGCACCTGCAGCTCCGACAGCGCGACGGCGGCCGCACGGACGGGCACCGTGCGCACCTGCGCGGCACAAGTGGCGGGCGCAGGCAGGGCGCGGGAGGTGCCAGCACGGTTGGGGCGCGGCAGAGCCGACAGAGCAGCGCCGATGGCGACCCGCAACCCCCTCTCGCCGCTGTGCCGGCCGAGGTGCCCACAAGCCCGCCCACCCCGCCCACCTGCGTCAGCGCCGCCTCCAGGTGCTCCACCAGGTTGGGCGCCACCAGGATCTGCGCGCCCTGCTCCCCCCTCACCACTATGTCCCCCACCTTCCCCCGCTCTATGCCGGTCCCCAGGCACGCCCCTGCATGCGCAGCAGGCAGGGCAGGGGCTGTGGGCGCGGCACCCAGGGCAGCGGGGAGGCAGCATGCCCAGGGATACACACGCCGTAGCTGGGACAGCCCGCGCTTCAGCGTTGGGACCAGCCATCCCTGCAGCCAGCCTGCTCACAGCTGGCTCAGGCAGGCACCCACCCAGGAAGTCTCTGTGGCTGGCTGGGTCGAACATGAAGTTCCCGGTAACCTCCACCGCCGCCACGCCGCCCAGCTGCGATGGGTCCCCGGCCAGCCCCTCCACCGCCTCCTCCCGCCCCACCGCCAGCCGGCAGCGCTCCGCCTGCGGGTAGCCTCCCCACGCCACGCCCGCCACGTCTGCCATGCGCTGCAGGAGGGTGAGCAGGCAGGCAGGGCAAACTGCAGTGACGTCAACCGGCATGCCTGCTGCCGTGCTGTGGAGACGGCAGCGATCGACCGGGAGATCGGATCGCCATCAGCGGCAAACTAAAACGCCCATCGGCAGCGGTGCAGCGCAGCGCAGCGCAGCGCAGCGCGGCGCGGCGAGCCAGGGGCACCTGCAGCACCATGAGCGCATCGGCCACGACCGGCGGCGTGTGGAAGTCGCTGTGCAGCACGGCCCAGCTGTCTGCCGCCCGCTGCGCCAGCTCCACGACCCGTGCCACCGACTCCCTGTGCTCGGCATCCACGCCCCGTAACAGGTCATCACGCACCGCCGCAGGCAGCGCGGTGCCGGCCCTGCTGCTGCTGCTCCTCGCTAGGCCGGCACCGCCGCAGCTCCTGCCGCTGCAAGTGGCACTGCTGCTCGCAAGGCCGGCGCCGCCGCCGCCGCCGCCGCCGCTGCTGCTGCCGCCGCTGCTGCACCATCGCCGCCAGTCGCCGGCAGGCGGTGGCGTGCATCTGCAGGCCGCTATCATTGCAGCAACGGGCATCGCTGGGCGCAACGATGTGCATCTTGAGGTCAACATGCGCCCAAAGAGCGAGCGCAACTAATCACAATCTGCTGCCTGTGTGCAGCCATGTGGTAAGCGGCGAGTAGCCGTGGCTGGATCTTTGGGCAGACCGATGCCCTGCTGGCACAGCGTTCTCCGAAACCCCCGCGAGCCCCCCCCGATTGTTATCGACGATCCACAAAAAGTTCCACGCCTGAAGGACATGGCCAAGAAGGGCCAGGGGAAGCCGGGTGCCGGTCGGCCATCCTCTGCAGTGCCGGGGGTCAAGAAGGCAATCTCCAAGAACACTCATGCTGCTAAGAAGACGAAGAAGGCACCTGCTGTGCACGCAGACCCTCAGCAGCAGGCGCCCATCACTAAGGACAAGAGGAAGTCGTTCAAGCGAGCTGCTCTGCACAAGAAGAAAAACAAGAAGCAGAGGAAGGAGGGGGCGCAGCCTGGGGTAGAGCCTGCAGCGACCGCCGCGCTGCCGCCACCGTCACCGGCGGCAGCAGGCAGGCAGCGGGCGGCAGTCAGCAAGAAGCGCAAGCAAGAGCAGCCAGCAGCAGCAGGTGAGCGCGCTACTGTGTCCAGAGTGTGGCGCTCAGCATCTGGCATCAACCCAAACCCCTGTCTGTCTTACGTCGTAATCATGGCCCGTGCGTTCAGAGCCGGCATCGGCACCGCCCAGAGCTGGCAAGAAGTCGGCGGCGTTCAAGGCAGGAGGAGTCAAGAAGGTGAAGAAGGCAGCAAAGAAAACTGACCAGGCACCCGCCTCGGCAGCAGAAGCAGCAAGGCAGGCGGCAGCGGCTGCGCTGGCGGGGCTGGGCCCCGCCGCTCCCACCGCCCAGGCCAAGCCACGGCCTCGGCTGGGGGTGCGGGTGGGGCAGAAGAGCAAGGTCAAGGTGCAGCCAGCGGTGCAGCAGAAGCAGCGAGAGCAGCAGCAGGACGAGAAGAAGAAAAAGAAGAAGAAGAAGAAGCAGGGTGCGCTGCAGGTGTGCCAGGCACAGCAACCGGCAGCAGACCAGCTGCCAGCAGGCGAGCAGCGGGTGAAGACAAAGAAGCGGAAGCTGCAGCCGCCGGCAGCAGCAGCAGCAGCAGCAGCAGCAGGTGAGCCATGCATAGTCGAGAATTGCTGGGGGTGCACCACTGCTGTTGCACCACTGCTCTCCTGCCTGAGCTGGCTGGCCTCAAGCTAGCTCACCCATGGCCACTTCCTGCCGGTGGCTCGGCCTTGCAGAGGCAGCCCCCAGCGCAGCAGCAGCAGCAGCGGCGGCAGCGACCCAGCAGCAGGACCGCCCCAAGCGTCCCAAGAAAGTGCTGGTGGTGAAGCGGGCGGCAGGGAGCAGCCCAGGGGCGCGCACGCGGGCAGCAGCAGCAGCGGCAGCGGGAGCAGCTGGCAAGCCTGCCGTGGCGGCAGCTGCCACGCCTGATGAGCAGCTCAAGCCGGCCAAGCGGCGCAAGCTGGCTGCAGGTGGGGTGGGCTGCGCTGCTGGGCCTCACTGCCAAGCGGCATGCATGCTCGCTCGTCGGCTGCCGGGGTGCTGCTCTGTTGATCGACCCCTTGCCTTTGTTGGCTGGCCCCTGCCGCGCGGCAGGCACCCCTGGCGCCTCCAAGCGGCCGGCAGAACAGCTTGAGGCGGGACGGGTGCTGTACTGTTTCGATACCAACGTGATGCTGCAACCCAGAGAGGGCGGGGTGGCGGAGGCGTGGGCGGCCATCGAGGCCGGCGGCGGCGGCGTGGTACAGGCGGTGGTAGCGCTCAAGGTCCTGCAAGAGGTGCGGTCAGCCAAGGTGCTGAAGAAGGCGGGCGCTGCGGGGGGCTACCAGCTGCTGAAGAGCATGATGGGTAACCACCGGTGCTGCCGCGTGCAGAGGTGAGGAGCGGGGGCATGTGGGGGGGTGGGCCGTGTGTGGCGGCGGCTGCGGGGGAGGTGCATGGCAGGCAGGGGAGGAGCCGAGGAGGCACCCAGTCATGCCAGCAACGCGAGGTGCTGCGTGCCGTGTCCTGCCCCTGATGTGGTTGCTGCCGACAAGGTGTCGGATGGCCGCCTGCCTGCCTGGAGGGGCTGGGTGCTGTCCTGCCTCTGATGGGCCTGTGCGGCTGCCGGCCTGATGGTGTACCGCAGGGAGGACGAGCAGTACCGCCCGCACCCGCTGAAGGTTGGCGCCCAGAAGGGGGACGACTCCATCCTGGATGCGCTGCTCTACTTTGCCTCGCTGGGGGCGCAGGTGGGTGCATGGTGTGCATGCCGCGCCTGCGCCGCGTCGGGGGCCGGGGCTGGGGTGGCAACGGGTCCAGCGCGCGGGCACAGGCAGCGGTCGCCCTCGCACGCAGCGCAGGAAGCGGTCGGGTGGGGTGCGTGCCGTGGAGCGGGGCCCTGCGCCGCTCCCTGGCGCCCTGGCCCCACCGCCTGCCTGCCCACGCACCGCCGCTGGCGCAGGTGGTGCTGGTGACTCAGGACAGAGCCTTCACCCAGAGAGCTCTGGAGCACGACATACCCAGCCTGCACCCCCAGCAGCTGCCCCGCGTGCTGCAGGCCTCCCTGTCCGGGCCCGGCGCGGCGGCCGGCGGCGCCAGCGGCGGACCCTCAGCCGCCGCCGCGCGGCCCGACGCGGCGGCGGGCGCGGGCCCCGAAGCCTCTGCCTCCGCCCCCGCGCCCTGGTCTGCGCTGCTCAGCCGCGAGCTGGCCCTGCTGCTGATGACCCCCGGCTACCAGCGGGCCGTGCTGGGCACCTGCCTCCCGCCCCTCAGCCGAGACGTGTTTGCCGCGCTGGCCGGGCGCCTGCAGCAGCCGCTGGAGCGGGTGCTGCTGGCGGCCACCCAGCTGCTGGCGGGCGCACTCATGGCCCCCGCGGCAGCAGCCTATGGCTACGGCATGGCTGCCGGCGCGCCGCATGCCGGCACGGCGGCAGCGCAGCGGCCCGCCTACGCGCCACCGCCGCAGGCCCAGTTTGGCATGCCGGCGGCGTGGCCGTCTGGCGCGGGCGCCGGCGCCGGCGCCGGCATCGGCGGCAGCCCGTACCAGCAGCAGCAGGCCGCGGCGATGGCAGGTTGGCGGTGGCCGGCGATGCCAGCTGGCAGCCCTCTCCACCCGCAGCCGATACAGCTGGTCGCGCCGGCGCGGCCGCCCAGCTCCTGGCAGTTCCCGCCTGGGCCCACGCTGCCGCCGCCGGGTGCACCCCAGGCGCAGGCATCAGCAGGCACCGGCATTTCGGCGGGGGCGCCGCCGCCTGCGCCGCCTTCTTCGCCTCCCTGGGGTGGCTTCTTTTGGGAGCGGCAGCCGGCGCCGGCCCACGTGCAGCAGCAGCAGCAGCAGCCCGAGCCGCCGCCCAACCTGCCGCCTCAGCAGCAGCAGCAGCAGCAGCAGCAGCCCGAGCCGCCGACCAACCCGCCGCCTCAGCAGCAGCAGCAGCAGCAGCAGCCCGAGCCGCCGCCCAATCCGCCGCCTCAGCAGCAGGTGCAGCAGGAGGAGCAGCAGGATGGGCAGGAAGGGCGCAGGCGCTCTGGGCGGGCAGGCAGCAGCCCACCTGGTAACGCAGCGCCGGCACTAGAAGCAGCAACAGAGGCAGACGAGATGCAGCCAGCGACTGAAGCAGCGGAAAGTATGCATGTCGAGGCGAATGCTCAGGCTGAGGCCGAGTCTGAGGAGGAGGAGGAGGAGGAGGAGGAGGGGGATGAGGAGCAGGAGCGGCTGCTGTCGCTGGTGCGCCCGCTGGTGCTGGGTGCGATGTGCGCGCTGCCGGGGCGCCGCGGCACGCTGCGGCAGGTGCAGGCGGCGATCCTGGGCGGCCCCCACCTGCGCGGCTGGCTGAGCTGCAAGCTGTGTCGCAGGGAGGGCGGCGTCAGCAGGCAAGTCGAGGCCTTGCCATGGAGGCCATCCGCAGCAGGGCGGACCTGTCCATTGTCGGCCCGCGCACCGTCCTTGCCCTGAAACAACCCAAAACAACGCGCTTGCCGCGCCGCCTCTGCCCGCCTTCCGTGCAGGTGGCGCGCAGCGGCGAGGACGCTGCTGCGCCGCCCGTCTGTGGCGCGCAGGGACGGCTCCGTACCGCAGGGCGGGCAGGCGGGCGAGGCTGTGTACCGCCTGGCGCCCTTTGCCCTGCACCTCGACTGGTAGGCAGGGGAGCGCTGCGCAAGGCCAGTTTTCTTCACACATTGTATTCACACAGGCCGGCATGCGCTTCACACCTCACATGCAATCCAATCCAGGGCCTTCACCGCATGCCAATGTTCAGCGAGAGCGCGTTCCTGCATTTGCCCTGAATTGATACATCGCCATTGATACATCGCCATTCCATTGTTCCATGTGATGTAATGCCACACCATTGTTTGTGTTCTACAACATAGTTGCGGTCCCGCGGCGGTCCCGCGGCGGTCCCGCGGCACGCCAGCAGCAGGAGATGAGGGGGCGGCAAGGGACAGCAAGAGCTACGGCCGGTCAATGCACAAGCAGCAGCGGGCTGGGTGCGGTACCGGCGGCTGAAGCCCCGTGCATGCGGGCCGCTCATCCCGCCGCTACCTCCGCCTCCTGCTGCTGCTGCTGGTGCTGGTGCTGCTGCTGCTGCTGCTGCTGCCCCGGCTGCCTCAGCTGCTCCATGGCTTGGATCTGGAGGGCCAGATGCTTCACAACGGCCCGCCCGGGCCAGTTGACCCACCAGCGCTGCATCTGGATGTGCTGGTGGGACAGCAGCGGCAGCAGGGTGGCGCCAAAGCAGACGTCCACCCGCCGCCAGGCCAGCGCCTGCAGCCGTGTTAGCATCTCCTCCACACGCTGCTCCTCGGGGCTGGGTGCGCCCAGGCTGCTGCTCCCGACGGCAGCGCCGCTGCTGCTGCTGCTGGCGACTCCACCGCCGCTGGCTTGGCGTTCACCGGCCGCTGCCGCCTGCCCCAGCAGGGAAGCCGGCCTGCTGGCACCGGGGCTGCCACCCATAGCAGCAGGCGCCTGACCACGGGCTTCCATATCCATGATGCCAGCCAGGCCCTGCCTGCCCACTGTCAGCTGCTGCTGCGAGCTGCCTGCGGGCCCCGCCGGAAACGCCGCGTACTGCGACGCGCCCTCCACGCCCGCCGCCACCGCCGGCAAGGCGCCGCTGCCACTGCCGCCGGCAAGCTGCCCCGCGCTGCGAGCCCGCAGGATGGCGTCCTCGCTGACCTGGCGCCCCTCGCCGCTGTGCAGCGCGGCGGCGGCGGGGGTGGCGTGCAGCGCGGGGCGCTGGTGCGGCGCCCAGGCAGCCTCCAGAGGGTCCTCCCGCACCACGCCTGTGCCCCTGCAGGCCAGCAGGCGGCAAAGCACACAAGCTTGGAGCTTCCCACAGCAGTACACGGCTCGTGGCGGCACATGGAGCCAGTTGCAGGCACGGTTGGTGGCGGCACATGGAGCCAGTTGCAGGCGCGGTTGGTGGCGGCACATGGAGCCAGTTGCAGGCACGGTTGGTGGCGGCACATGGAGCCAGTTGCAGGCGCGGTTTGTGGCGGCACATGGAGCCAGTTGCAGGCGCGGTTGGTGGCGGCACATGGAGCCAGTTGCAGGCGCGGTTGGTGGCGGCACATGGAGCCAGTTGCAGGCAGGGACGGCAGGTAAAGGCGGGGCGGCTGGCTGGCCGGCTGCGGTGGCAGCAACAAGCAGCCCGGCTGCGTCCCTGCCAGGGCATCCCTCACCCGCCCCTCGCTCACCTCCCGCTCTTAGGGGGCAGCTCCCCCAGGCGGCGCAGGGAGCTGTTGGCCCAGCCCACCAGATGGTCGCCTGAGCTGTTGGCGTACAGGGTGCGCGTCTCAAAGGCGGCCAGAGCCGACATGAACAGCAGGCCCTGCAGGGCGTGGCGGGGAGGCATGCAGACGCATGCATGCATGCGTGCGTGTGCGGTGGTGGAGGAGGTCGAGGGGGCGAAAGGAGTGCCTGTTGCCCGGGGAGGAAAGAGCGGCAGGGGGCCGCAGGGAGCAGGCACGGAGCACGCGAGGGGCAGGTGGCAGCCCAGCCCACCTCCTGCGGCTGGTCCTGAGTCAGGCGGTACAGCAGCGGGGGTCGACGGCGGCCGCCGCCGCCGGCGCCGCCGCCTGGCCTTGCATCGGCTGCTGGCTGCTGCGCCCGGGCCTGCGGCGCCGCCGGCGAGCCGCCTCCCTCCTCGTCATCTGACAGGAAGAACTGGCGCCCCACCCGCCCCATCGTCAGCTCAGACACGGGCGCCGCCAGCTCCTGCGGCAGCGGCGTGGAGGCGTGGAGCAGATGAGCAGGAGGTGTGGGGCGAGGCAGGCAACTGCGCGCCAGCTGCAGGCCGGCCGGCAGGCCGGCAGGCAGGTGCTGGGTGTCACCCTCGGCACGCTCCGAGCAGCCCACCGCTCACCGACACGACGCTGTGCACGGCGCCTCCCATTGCCGGCAGCGCGGACAGCCAGCTGATGAGCGGTACCTGCGGCAGCCAGGGGGAAGCTGGGCGGCACGCGGCTCATCGCCCAGCGACCCGCCGACACAGCACGGCATGGAGCCAGGCGGCAGCGGCGCAGTGGCCCCGCACCCATCCCCAGGGGCAGCAGGGCGGCCCACCCCCGCCCCGGGGAGCGCCCGCCGCCCACCTGCGCCGGGTTGCGCCGCGCGTCGCAGCCCAGGTGCGGCGTGGCCATGGCCACAAAATGGCACGGCGCCAGCCCCGCCATGGTGCCCGCGGCCGGGTCGTACAGCCTGCCCGCCGCGTAGCGGCTGATCAGGCCGCCCATGGAGTGGCCAAGGATGGAGATGCGGGTGAGGCCCGGGTGCTGCGCCGCCACGCGCCGAATCTCCTCCGCCAGCCGCTCCCCGCACACGTCCACCCCCTCAAACGTGCGCTGCCGCTCGTTGCAGTGCGACACAAAGAGCAGGGTGCTGGCGGGGTCCAGCTGCTGCGCCAGCAGCTCGCTGATGGCCTGCACGCAGGGCAGGGGGCGGTCGGGGGAGACTCACACACACTGTGCGGCTGGGGCGCCTGGCTTCCTCCAGACGGAACCGCAGGCCAGCTCACCCGCCAGTTGTCGCGGGTCCCAAACAGCCCGTGCACCATCACCACCAGGTGCGACTTGGCGGGCTGGCCTGCCGCCGCGTCCGAGCCCTGCAGGCCATCCAGCACCTGCGCGCCGCCGGCAGGCGCCGCTGCCGCCAGCGCGGTGGCCTGCCCCCGACGGCCTGGCGGCCACCAGGCAGCCAGCTGCTGCAGCCAAGTGCTGCCCATGGCCCGCTGCTGCCGTCCCTGGCCGCCCTGGGCAGCGCCAGCGCGCCTCCTCCTGCCGAGTGCGACGGATGAGGGTGGAGGCGGCGCTGCGCAGGTTGACATGCCAATTTGATCGCCGTGTCACGCAGCCTGGGCCCCGAGGGGCCGCAACAAGGCCGGTTTCAGCGCCATGGGCAGGCCAGCCTGGGTCCTTGCTGGCACCCTGTGCGCGGCCCTCAAGCGCCCGCCTGCGCCTGCCTCGCCCTCTTCAAAGTCTCTCGTTGGAAGGAGGCAACCTTCACGGGTCCCCTGCCTTCCCCGCCTTTTACAGGCCACCAGAGACCAGAGTGAGTGCGGCGCTGCTGTGGGCTTGCAGCCCGCCCCCCTGCTTGGTGCTGGCTTGCATACCGCGCTGCCCTGCCCGGGATGGCTCTGCCCGCCGCGCGAGCTGCATGCCAAAGTGGTGATGCGGCGGCGATGGGGCAGCGGCGCACCCCAGCATCTAGCTGGCAGGATGCAAGAGCGCCAGGGTGCAGACGCGCCTCTCTGCCACAGCGCTCACCGGCTGGCCCTCCCGCCCGCCCGCCGCCGCCGTCGGCCTTCCCCATGCCCAGGCTCCTGACCTGCTGCCGTCCTCCTGCACCCGCCCTGCAGGCACCATGGCTCCCAAGGTTCGTCGCGCCACAGAGGAGAATGTCCAGCTGGGCCCCGCCACCAGATAAGTGCCCGCCGGTGGGGCTGCGGAAGGGAGACGTCTACAGGAGGGAGGGCTGCTCCTCGAAGCCCCTGCCCGCCGTGCATCGTGCTTACGGCCTGCGTGCCTGCCCCTCCCCCCGCCTGCTGTGCTGCACGGAGGGCGAGCTGGTGTGGGGCGTGGCCCACATCTTTGCCTCCTTCAACGACACCTTTGTCCACGTGACCGACCTGTCGGGCAAGGTGCGGGGCATGACAGCTGCCGCGCGAGCATGCAGGATTGCATGCTGGTGGGGCTGGAGGGCAGCAAGCCGAGGGCCAAGCGGAGCGGCAGCCGGCTAGGGCACGGCTGCGGGGGCTGCGTGGCAGCCGGGCATGGGAGCGAGGCGCACGTGGGCACTCCAGGCGTTGGGGTGGAGCCCGCCAGCAGCCAGCCAGCCCGCCTAGGGGCCAGCCAACTGTCGCCGGCCCGCTCAACGGCCGCCTCGGCTCGACTCTCCGCGCTGCAGGAGACGCTGGTGCGCGTGACCGGCGGCATGAAGGTGAAGGCCGACCGCGACGAGTCGTCGCCCTACGCCGCCATGCTTGCCGCACAGGACGTGGCCGTGCGCTGCAAGGTGGGTGGGGCGGCAGGCCCGCCGCGGTGCCGCTCGTTCACCCAGCTGCACACACACCCTGCCTCCCGGGCCGCCAGTGCTGCCACCTGCCTGCAATCCCGCGCTCGCAAGCGCAAGCTGACCTCCCCATGCGGCACAACACCCCCTGCAGGAGCTGGGCGTGAACGCGCTGCACATCAAGCTGCGCGCCACCGGCGGCAACCGCACCAAGACCCCCGGCCCCGGCGCCCAGTCCGCCCTGCGCGCTCTGGCCCGCTCCGGCATCAAGATTGGGCGGATTGAGGACGTCACTCCCATCCCGACCGACAGCACTCGCCGCAAGGGCGGCCGCCGCGGTCGCCGCCTGTGATCGCACCCATCCAGACGGCGGCATGCACCCTCAGCTGCGTCGTTCTGCACTGCTGGGCGTGCTACGGCTTGGTGGTGTGCACAGTGTAAGAGTTCTGCTGTGAGAATGAAGGAAAGTGGCGGAGAGGGGTATGAAATGCGGCGGCGCCGCCGCATATGGCACAATGATCAAGTGTGGCACAATTAGAGTCGATGCTGCCAGCTCGCTTGTAGCGGGAAGCGGGCATCCACAGGTCTTGATGGCGCTGCCAGTATGCACAAGGCCTGCCGAAGCTTACGCGCCATGGCTGGCTGCCGCCGACATCACCGCGCCTCGCGCAGCCGCGGATCGCGCTCCTGCTGCTGCCGGTGCTGCGGGGCTGGGCTGTAGCTCTGTCTTGAGCGCCGCCCCTCCTCCGCCTGCTGCCGCTCCAGGCTCCATCAGTGCCGCTGGCACAGGTAGCGGGAACTGCATGAGCGATTGCGCGGGGCACAGCAGGCATTCGGCTGTCAGCTGTTGGGCAACAACTCCCAACCATTCGGCCGCTGCCTACCTGCAGCCTGCTCTGCGGAGGGCAGGCCGCCGCCGCCTTCCCCTGCCCCCTTGGAACAACAGTTCTGCAGCTCCGGCTCGCTCCCATGCCACCAGCCCATGACCGTTACAGAAAGTGTAAATGCACCCACCCAGGCGCCCCACCTGGCGCAGCACATGCCGGATGTTGGCCTCCACCCGCTGCTGCTGCTCCTTGTCGGCCGGCGTGAGCACGCGCCGCACCTCCCGCCCCGCCGCAAGCTCCCGCTCCAGAGCGCTCTGCTCGTGCTGTTGGCTGGTGGCTGCAGGGGCGGGTGGGGGAGCAGCCGGTGTTGCAGAGGAGGGAGCATGCACGGCTGGCATGCGGAGCCTGCCTGCATTGTATGGCAGGCACAGGAGCACACACGACACCACGCACCCAGCGACAGTGGCGCCAGGTCTCGCTGCATGTCCCGGAACGCCGCCTTGAGGCTGAACATGCAGCGCTGCTGCGGCACATGGGCGCGGAGGGCAGGAGCGCGGGCGCGTGGGTGGCGGCGGCGGCAGCAACCCCCAGAAGCATGCAGTCCAAGCAACGCCTGCCCACTGGCGGACCGCACGCTGAGCTCCCATCCTACCCCCCACCCCACCGCTCCCAACCATATGCCGCCGCCGCCGCCTCCCACCATGCGCGCCAGCAGGGCAGCCTGCAGGCTGGGCGCCTGGTAGATGGATCCGTCAAGGATGTAATAGAAAGCAAGGGTGGTGATGGCGCCGCCGGCGTGGCGGTACAGCTTGCGCAGGATGAACAGGTGCGGCGGCTGCGAGTCGGCCAGCAGGTACTCCACGCCCTCGCCCACCGCGCTGCAGCGGCGCGGCGGGGGAGGCAGGGCGCACAGGCGTGTTGCTGCGGGGCAGGGTGCCGCCGGCAAGGGAGCCGCCTGCGAGGCCCGGTTGCGGGCGAGCTGGCCGGGCCCCACTGGGCCCCCCTGCCTGTTCCCTTCCCGCCGCCGCTTCTGGAAGCTTTGCGCTGCTGCACTCACGGCGGCTGGCCGCGGGGCTTGCCCGCCAGGAAGCCGCGCTCGTTGGCGCAGGCTGGGTCGTAGAAGGGCGAGAGGGAGAAGTAGTCGAGCACGGTGCCGTGGTGCAGGCCAAAGGCGGCCAGCCACAGGTCATCCCGCCAGCAGGTGCCGGTCAGGTCCTCGGTCACCACCTGGCTGGGCACCTCCCCCGCCGCCGACATGGCCCAGGGCCGATGCTCTCAACAGGCGGGGCGCTGGAGCCGCGCTGGTCAGGCCTGCAGCGGGTAGCGGAGGCCTGGTGGGCAGCGGCGGCGGGGCGGCGGCGGGGGTTTGCCAGCAGCGCGGCGCACAGGGCGCTGATGGGCTCAGTGTGCAGGCCACATCGCGCCACCGCTGTTCTTCACTGCTGTGCTGCTGCCGCGCACACTGTAATGCGATGGCTGGTGGCTACAGGCGCTGGTTCTATTGCTTGTACTATTGCTTTGTTGTTTTGTACTCCTCATCAGCGAGGTGTGCGCGCGCTATCAGGCCATCAGTCAGGGCCGTACATTGACCGTCCAGCTGGTGCGGCGGCGGCGAGTTGTGCCGCCCAAGCCAGAGCCTGCCCGAGAAAGGCTGCTTCGGGAAGGGGAGATCTTTACACAATACCTTTAGTAATCACTCAATGCGCACGTGTGCACCCAGTGGGCAGGCCAGACAGCGCTGCGCAGCGCTGGACCATCCGTCATGGCTAAGCTTGGCAGGTGGGCTTCTGATTGGTGGCGGCAACACACATGCACATGCACATGCACACAAATGTGATCCGACAAACATGGCAAAGGGATCACAGAAATATCTCTGAGGAAGGATAACAGAGCGCTGAAGCTGACAACAGAAGGCGGGGCCGTCCCTCGCGGAAGGGACGCAAGACACAACCACATAACATTAAGCAGTGCGCAGGACAAGGGCAGCCTCAGTTCAGGTGCTGCTTGATGGGGCAGTTTTGGCAGCTGGCTGCGACAACACAAAAAAACTACAAAACAAAGAAGAGTTGCTGAGGCCGCATGGCAGAAAAGGGGTGGCCAAACACAGCGGGCTGGCCTGCAGGCAGGGATCCCTTCCGGAAAGGTGTGATGGCGGCTAGGGCTGGCTGTGTGGGCACGGGGTGCTCACGTCCAGGTGCGTGGGATGCGGGCGGTGTAGGTGGGGGTGGTGGCGTTGCCCGACTGCACTGTGAAGAAGTCGACGACGAGCTCATCGTGGTGGAAGGAGGCAAACACAAAGCCTGCAGCAACAAGGTGTGGGCGTGGTGGTGTGTGGGCGGGGGGCGGGGCGGAGATGTGGTGTGCTTGTGTTGCGGGCGCGTGCGGTGCCGGCGCGGCCACCACACATTGCTGCGCGCGCCCGCCCCAGCCCGCCGCTCACGCGCACCGTTCTGGTCCAGGTACTTCACGCTGTCCACCACGCCGTTGGCCACGCCGGTCAGCTTGCTGCCGGCGCCGGTGACGACGATGTCGTATGTGTAGGTGCCGTCCACGGCGTGGCGCAGGTGCTCCAGGTCGTGGTCGTGCCCCGCAAAGTACGCCTGCACCTTGTGCTTCTTCAGCACCGGCTCCCAGGTGCTAATGATGCCGCGGTTGTTGCCGTGGTCTCCGTTGCTGCGGGGCGGGTGGTGCCCAATCACGACCTGCGGGCGGGGCAGGGCAGGCAGGGCGGCGTGGGAGGGAGCGGTGAAGATGAGATGCAGAGGCAGCGCCAGGGCGTGGGGGGCAGAGGCTGCGAGGGCAGGCCCTGGAGGAGAACAGGCAGCGGCAGGTGGCTGTGGGTGTGGCGCTGTCTGTCTGTCTGTTACAACCGTGTGGCGCTGTGCAGAGGCTGGTGGCAGGGAGGCAGACGCGGCAGGGGTGCGCCTACCCACCTTCCAGGGAGCTGTGGAGGCTCCAAGCATGGCATCAACTGTGGCCAGGATGGCATCGATGCTCTGCGTCAGGATCCCTCCTGCATCCAGGCGGGCCGAAGGGCAGCGCCAGTGCAGGCGTCAGGTGGCAGGTGGCGTGCGACCTGGCACAGCGCACAGAACAGCCAGGCATGCCAAGCGTGCCAGGCCGTGTGGCAGCGCACCAGGGCACTTGGCCCAAGTCGTGGCCAGGTAGCCAGCAATGAAGGGGCTGGTGTCAATGAAGAAGATGTCCACGCTGCAGGCCCAAGCGTGCGGAGGGTGCAGCGCTGAGTGGGAAGCCCTCCTGTCACGCAGGTCACTGCCGCCCCGACGCACACACGCATCACGGGCGCCCACCCACCACCACCCCTGCCACTCACTTCCCGTTGCCCGTGCTGAGGGTGGTGGTGCGGTAGGCATTGAAGCGGGGGTTGCGCAGCTTGATGGCTGGGTCCAGCTGCGGGCAGCAAGGCGAGAGCTGGTGAGCGGCGTGCCGGCCCGGCATCCGGCACCAGCGCCTGTGCCCTGTCCAGCACGTTTGATTGTGTTGCGGCGGCGGTGGTGGCGGTGGTGGTGGTGGTGGTGGCCAGACGGGCATCTGGTGTGGGCGGCAGCGCAGGGGTGGGCCGGCAGCGGTCCACGAGACGATGCAAGCGCCGGATGCGGCGGCGGCGGGGTGACGCTCACCTGCCAGTTTGGCGAGTTGGGGCAGCCGCCCGGCTGGTCGCAGTTTTTGGCGCCATCGCAGTAGTCGTGGTTGCCCAGCGCCAGGTGCCAGGGCACGTTCTGCAGGAGGGCGCGGCGCCAGCGCGGCGTGAGTGCCAGCTGGCTGCCAGTGGCGGGCAGGGCCGGAATGGCGGGGCAGGCAGGCAGGCGTGGCGTGCGCCCCGCCGGAGCAGGAGCTGGGCGCACCAGCGAGGGCGCTGAGTAGACGTTTTTGAAGGACGAGTCGAACTGGGGGTCGGCAGCAGACACGAGGCTGCTGGGGTAGAAGTTGTCACCTGCCAGAACGGGGAGTGGGGCAGTGACAAGGTGCAGAGCTCTAGGCAGCGCATCCAGCCCGCTGCTCGCTGGCGCTGTGGCAGCACGTGCGGCGGCTGCGAGGCTCACCAGTGCTGATGATGAACTCGGGCGGCCGCTTGGCAGCTGTGCTGGCCATCAGCGCTGCCGTGCTGGTCTGCTCCACGATGCCCAGGCGGCCCCAATCACCCAGCTGCAGGCAAGGCAGCGCGGCACCACAAGGCATTGGGTGGAGTGGCTCCACCCTGGGGCACACGGCAGGCTTGAGAGGGGCAGCCCGCGCAGGCGCAGCTCGGCTGCAAGCATAAGCAGCTGTGGGGCGGCCAGCAGCCTTCAGCACAGCTCACCGCCATGAATGACACGGAGGGGCTGCAAAGGGGAAGAGAGGCAACATGGGCAGGCAGGCAGGCATGTCAGAAGGGAGGGGCGAGCAGAAGGCAGCATGCGGAGCGACAGCACCACAGGCCAGCCAGCCGTGCTCAGGTTGCAAGGGCAGCAGACCCCAGGCCATCGGGCAACCTACTTGGCCCTGCACAGCACGTGGGCAAGGCAGGTACCCAGGTGTGAGCCGCACAGGGGCGCAGAGGGCGGCCACCGCCGGTGCAGCGGTGCAGGCCAGGGGAACTAGCTTGCGCCTGGGACTTGGCCTGGCGCCTGCGTGCCTGCCCCACGGCAGGCTGGGGGGAGCCGCTCACCACGCCAGCACGGTTGTCTTGTTCTGCTTGGCGGCGTCTGAGTAGGCCACCACCGGGTTGCCATCCTTGACCGCCACGTCGACGAAGCGGGCCATGCCGGCAGAGATGCCTGCGGGGCGGCGCGGGGAGCGGCATGGGGGCCAGGGCTGGAGCGGCAGCAGCTGGCGGTGCTGTGCCGGATAGAAGGGGCATGGCGCCACGCAGCGCAGACAAGACAGTCTGGTGGCCCTGGGCTGAGGGCTGGGGGGGCGGCTGGAAGCAGGCAGGGGCGGGAGGGAGGAGCCGGCAGCGTTTGTGATTGCGGCCAGGGCCGGGGCAGCGCGGAGGCTGCTCACCGGCGGGGCCAAAGGCGCGCCACGACGCCCCGCTCTTGTACCGCTTCACCGACACCCTGCCGCCCGCCCCCGCCGCGCCGTCGGCGAACGCCAGGAACGGCAGGCCCGCGGCGTCCAGGGACAAGGACAGCGCCGCCGGCAGCGAGGTGGTGGCCACCACGCCCGCGGTGGGCAGCTTGGTCCAGGCCACGCCCGTCCAGCGGCTGGCGGTGGCCTTGGGCTTGGTAGGCGTGGCAGGGTCGTGCTCGATGTAGCCGAGCACCGGGTTGGCGGCGGCGTCGAGGCGCAGGCGCAGGCTGGACACGGGGTGTGCGGTGAAGCCCGCGGGGCCCACGGCCACCCAGGACAGGCCGGTGTCGGCCAGCTTGCGCACGGTGGCCTTGCCGCCCTTGTTGGCGTCGACGTAGGCGATGACGGGGAGGCCGGCGGGGGTGAGGGCGATGCGGGTCCAGGTGGCGGCGGCGGGGGTGAAGCCCCGCCGCGTCACGTTCTTCCACACGCCCGCCACCAGCTTCATCACCGTCGCCTTGCCGCCCACCGTCTCGTCGCTGTAGATCACCCAAGGCACGCCCGCGCCGCTCACCGCCACATTGGTGAAGGCGGCGCCGCCGGTGCTGAAGCGCCTGCGGGCGGCGGCGGCCGCGCGGGGGCAGGCAGCATGCAGGGGTGGGTGGCTGGTAGCCGGCCGCGTGGGAGGAGCAGCCAGCTGCGGGGGCGCCCCAGCCAGGCGCGGCCCGCGGCAGCGGCGGCGCCAAGGGCGGGAGCCACGGTGCGCAGCGGGCGTTTTCAGGGCAGCCCCCGCAGCGCGCCTGCGCCCCGCGGCGCGCATGAGCCGGCGTTGCTGGCGGCACACTCACGGGGCGCCCACGTTGTCCCAGGCAGGCGGGATCTTGGCGGCGTTGAACCTCTTCACTGTGATCTTCTTGGAGTTGCCTCGGTAGGCGATGTAGGGGTCCATGGCCGGCCCCAGCGCCAGGCTGATGTACTCAGTCTTGCCGCTGTGGATGTTCACCGGGCCCACGCCCGTCCTGCGGGGCAGGTGCAGGCGGGGCGGGGCGGGGGCGGCAGCCGGGGCGTGAGGGCAGGGAGGGATGGCGGCGGAGCGGCAGCCGCCAGCGGCCGTCGAGGTGCGGCATGCACGGCCCCATGCCCGCCCGCCAGCACATCAGCTGCACACGCACGCACGCACACGCCCTTCCAGGCCCCCCACAGGCACAGCCACCCGCGCCGCCACCACCAGCGCACCAGCCAGTGGCCGGTGTGTACTTGCGGCAGGTCATGTTGCTGGTGGCATCGCTATAGGCGACCATGATGGTGCCATCCAGCGCCACCGCCATGCTGTTCCAGCTGGCCTGGCTGGCGGACACGCCCGTGGGCAGGCCCAGCACCGTCCAGCTGGGCACGGGGGCGGCGCCGGCCACGCCGCGCGCGCCTGCACACAGGGAGGTGCGGGGGGCGGCGAGCACGGCAGTGATGGGTGCCTGCAGGGCTCGCTGCAGCGGGCGCATGCCTGGCCGGAGGCATGGCTACAAAACATACTGTGCACATCCCGGCCAGGCACGCGGCTTACCCAGGCAGAGGAGCAGCAGGGCGACGGGCGCCAGGGCGACGGTGCACCTGGTACTATGCGGCAGGCTGGCACAGGGGCTGGCAGCTCTTGCCCGCCGCTGAGCGCCCCGCGCAGCGCGGCCACCGATCAGGGCCATGCCTTGCCGTAGCTGCGAGCAGCGCAGCTGTGTGCTGGCCGCGGCCTCCCACTGGGATGATGGGGAGCGCCCGCTGTTGGCCCGCCTCTTGAGTGGAAACGCACGGGGTACAAGCCCGGGATCTTGAAAGCTTTGAGAGCGTTGATCTGGTGATGCACATGTGGAGAGGGGGCTGTGGCGGTAGCTGGAGCTATACGGAAGTTATCCAGCAATCTGCAAAAACCAAAACTGCATCACAGATGAGCGGCAGGTGCTGGGAGTCATCCCCAAGCGCAGGTTCCCACCAAATGAACCCGTTTTCAGCGAGTTTCACCGCCGGGTTTGTTCTGCTCATCGCTTTAGCATTCCAATTGGAGTTCTGTGAGGATAGGGAGGCGCCCTCGCGGAGCGGGGCCCCGCGCATCGTTGTGAGCGCTCCCGCTGCGCGAGCTCATCCGGCCAAGCGCCGGATCATATCTCCTCTAGGGGTATTCGGCATGTGAGTTAGGCGGTCGCGGTGGCCTGCAAGCGCCCGCCAGTAGCCGCCAGACCCAGCCATGTGGGTGCCCGGCAGTGGCAAGGCACCCAGCCAGCCGGTGGGCCGTGCCAGGCAGGCAGGATTGTGTACCCCAGCCACATCATCGTCCCTTTCAGGATGTGTAGGCCATGTGAAGTGTTGCAGCACGATGGAAATGCAGACCTGGGGTGTGGGTGGGGACGGGACGGGGGGCGTGGCGGGGCCGACGCTTAGCCCGCCGCCCATGTGTCAAACGCATCTGGTGTGAATAGTGAGGCGTGCCAGCCCGCCTGATGCATGCAACACCGTTACCATACCGAAACACGAGGAGCCACTTGAATCGAGGGTGCTGGCTGGTGGGCCGTGCGTGGGCTTTCGGAGGAACACTCCCCCGGCGCCGGTGCCGGTGGCCGGTGGCCTCCTGGCCATCTGCATTGCCGTGGTATGAAGCCCATTTGCTTCCACTGACGACCGATCTGCGGCCAAGTTCGCACTCCGACCGTGTTTACCCTGCCGCGAGGGGGAGCCGACTCCCCCTCCGTAAGTTTTGCTCCCCCAAGCTTGCCTCAGGTCCGAGTGAAGCCGCCAGTGGGTGGTTGCGAAGACTCTGCAGCACCCCCTGCCTAGGGCCGCGTCCCCAGCTCGGCGGTCGCTTTGAAGCCTGCACAGGCGCCCCTCATTGCTCGCAACTGAACCCACTGTTGTGCACATAATCCCCTGTGCCGCAGGCGGACGTAGGGGCTCGGAGCCATGGCACCGCCTCGTTGCCGCCTGGTGCCGCCGCCGCTCACTCAACTCCTGCTGCTGGGCCTGTTCCAGGGCCTTGGCGCCGTGATTGTAGAGCCAATCGATGTCCTCCCTGTTGCCTATGACTACCTCCCCTTCCGCGCACCAGGCGGCTGCACGGGGTTGCCTCTCTTCCCACTTGGTCGCACGTTGGACGAGCAGGTGTGGTCTGTGCCCGCAGCATGCTGCTGGTGATGTTCTGCAAGGATGGCAGGAGCGACATGGTGCGCCGAGTCATTTCAACCCACCCTGCCTATCCTGGTATAGGCAGACCAGGCCAAGCTTGATTGCCCCAAGTATGGGGCGAGATGGGCCTGGAACCGCACCGTGACCCTGCAGACACCAAGCGGCTCCTACAACGTGCAGTACTGCACCCTGTGCCAGCCCGGCCTCGACCAGTGCATTCTCAAGTGGTGAGTGCCCCAGCCAGCTGGCTGGCTGGCAGGGCGGTCCAGCGGTGGGGACCCCGCTTGGGCAGCCCGACCACCACCACCCAACTATATGCACATGCACAGCCGTCCCCGGCACTCTGGCCTGCCACCAGCACGCCTTACCCTAAGCCATTGATCCCGCACCTTGCCACCCAGGTTTGGCACCCCGTCCTTGTGCAAGGGCGAGTGCCCCGCTGGTTGGACGCCTGTGGCACAGTCCTCTATCCTAAACGACCAGCCACAAGACGACCCAGCCTACCCCTGGTATGGCACCGAATGCTCCTCGGGCACCAAGGTGCTGTGCAAGCTGTGTGGACGCAAGGAATGCAACGGGTGCACGTACACCTGGTGAGTGGAGGCGGCGTGGCGTGTGGGTCTGCGAATTCGGCCTGTCGCCCGTGCCACAGCTGCACCCTACCCAATCCAGCCATCGCTGCGCCTCCCTGCTCCATGCGCCTCTCTTGCTGCGGTGCAGGAGGGGAACCGCACCCAGGTGCTACGACACTTGCGATGCGGGAGAGACGGTGGTGGCAACGGACAGATACGGCGGCGGCGCACTCTGCATTGGCGGCTATGGCCACAAGTTCCTGTGCGAGGTGCGCCTGCGTGGGGGGCCACTGAGGAGTGCGCCCGCCCTGCCCGCCGCTGCTCAGGCATGGTGCCACCGCTGCTGGCTCGCAGAAGTGTGCGTCACCCATCTATGATACGTACGATCCGAGGCAGTGCAGCCCGCCCAGCGACTGGCAGGGGACTGCCTGGATGTGCCAAGGTGAGGGGACGGCATGCCTGCTGCTGCTCGCTGCTGGCCGCAGGGCCGCCTGGCGCGGCTGGCAG